GGTGTCAAAGGCCTTGCTGAAGTCTAGAAAGACTACATCCACGGCAACACCTGCATCCATTGCCTTTGTGACTTGATCATAAAAGGCAATCAGGTTGGTCTGACATGACCTGCCCCTAATGAAGCCGTGCTGGTTGCCCTTGAGCATCATCACTGAAGCCGTCCCATCACAGATGTGTTCCTTGAGGATCTTCTCAAAGAGTTTCCCAAGGATAGAGGTAAGACTGATGGGCCTATAGTTGCCCGGGTGGCCAGGACCAGGACCAGGACCAGGTCCAACAGGGCGTTTCCTCTGGTGGGACTGTGCACCTCCTGTATTAAGTGGAGGTCCTGTATCTCAGCTAGGAACCTCCTGGAATGGTCCGTCCTGGCTGACTGTTCCTCCCAGCAGATGTCCGGGTAATTAAAATCACCCATGACAACTACATCCCTTGCCTTAAGTGCCTCTGCAAGCTGGCCTGAAAATTCCCGGTCCAGCTCCTCCCCTTGGCTGGGGGGTCTGTAGTAGACCCCCACCGTCAAATCACTCTCCCCACGGTCCCCTAGAATCTTGACCCAGAGCACTTCAGCTTGCCCCCCCTCTGACCCCATTCCGCTGGCAGAGGATGTGTAGTGCTCCTTGACACAGAGCGCTACACCCCCACCTTTCCTACCTTCTCTATCACGCCTGTACAGCCTATAGCCCCTAATGCTAACTGCCCAGTCATGGGACGAATCCCATCATGTTTCCCTCAGTTTATGTGGGTTCTGTATGTTATACGACATTTTCCAGGAACACATATATAGCGTAAAGTGAGGAAAACCTGTAGTGGTCTTTCATTTTGGTCACAGCAATTTGTGTGTGATGGGTTACTTTTTTAATTTGAAAATTGGGAATTTTTTTTTTTTTTAAATCAGAGAAAACTAGGATCCCAAGTCACCAGTATGCAGGATGCACAACTGCCTTTGAAGGACTTTGCTCTACAGCTGCACAAGGATGAAAACAAAGACCAACAAACAGCATATTTATAAGACATGCACTGACACAGTAAGTGATGGCAGTTCCTAGAAATTATAAAAAAAATAGAGACTATATTAGATTATTTTCCCCCCAGCTGGTCAGAACTGTTTTGATTTCTTTGTCCAAACTCCTCACAGGCAATTACATTGCCACACACTTGCATTTTTAACCAGCAATCATTTAAAAAATATTCAAAACAAGTCATTGAAGGTTGGCAGGAGGTTAAAAAAAAAAAAGAATAAACAAAGGCCTCAGTCCAACACTGAGGATCAGGGGTAGCTGAGGGCAGTTCCCAGTACAACTTCAGGGTTTAAATGCAAGGCTTCTAAACTGACCCATTTGAGATTAGATATCCCCAAAACATGTTGCTAGAATTGTAACATGAAAAAAACCTCTTTGTATTTCTAACTCCTACCTCACAAATATATTTGCTTATTAATCCTCAAAATTCATCTCTAGCCAACTCTCCTCAGACACTTCAAAAGTTTTTTTACTAGTAGAAAAGTTGGGAATCATGCTCTGTGGATTTTATAGACAACACACTCAGACTAACCACAGCCACAACCATTAGAATGACTGGAGTCTCAATATATAAATCTATTTTGAAGAGCCAATTATAATGTAGTTCTAGCAACTGGAGTTCTCAAGTATACATATTAACATTGCATAGATTGAAAAGCTTTTCTTGTGCTGTTTTTCTACAGGGGAGATCATCATCTGAGATTTGGCAATGCTGAAGGAACAGCCACAGGAAATGGAGAGGCCATCTGGCAGTCAGGTAAGACAACAAATGTCCAAAGCAGTTAATGAAAAAGAATTACTGAATTTATTATTGAAAAAGTATTTTAGTACACAAATCTCTAGAACGTGATGGGGCTGCCATTTGCCTTTTCTGGCAAAAGCATGCTGAATTCAGCAAGTTGTGCAGGTACACATGAATGCATATGTGCATACAAACACACACGTGCACACAAACTGTACTTGCCTTGGAATGAGAGCCGTCATTGAGAAAAAAAGCACCCATGCAGGTTGGTGTCAGATACCCTATTGAAGGATTCTCTTTCCTGATCACAAACCAATCTTACGATTGTAAGTGATCTGCAAAACCTCACACTGACAACTCTGCAACACTCACAAGACTGCCCTATTTTCACACCTTATTTGGGACAGAGATGCCCGGAAAGACACTGTGCATCTCTCAATTTAGCTGAGGTCCAAGATTCACCACATAATAAATCAGTTGAATAAATCAGTTGGCTGAGGCCAGAAGAGTAACAAACATGCTAGAAGCTATATGGAAGGAGGGACTAGTTTGATCATTTGGTTTCACTCCCAAGTTGCTGTAGCTGTTCTAGGTACAGCCACATCAGCAGCATGCAGCAAGGAGGCAGCTCAGACCAGAAGCAGACAAACTTGTTAAGCTACACGTGTGTTGCCACCTATTTGGATTAAAAACCATGAGCTTTCAAACAGTAGCTTCTAACCAATACTAAACAAAAGCTTCAAAATTATATTTGTGCCACTATTTCCTAGTAAGTATTGCACACAGAGAAGTCTGTCTATATTCCCCACAGAATGTTACTGCAGTGGTAGACAGAAACACTTCTCCAGAGCTACTGGAAAGAATTAACACTGCAATTTCTTACACACTTTATTACTAAGCCATATGAGCTCCCATGAGGAACAGACTTTTCCACTGTAGACAAAGATTACAGCAGTTAACAACACAACAGCACAGAAGTCATTACGAATGGTTATGCTCTGTTTGGTTTCTTGATATTAGAATCTAGTCATTACTTACTATACCAAGTCTGTTGCTTTCCACAGTTTGAAACAAATGCAAAAGTATGCTGAGCAATTTTAAGTGATGAACTTTGAACAAGGGCAATTCCACAGTTGTGTAATATACATTTATTTCTTTGCTAAAAATCACAAGCCTGGAAATAAAATATACAAAAGTAATGAGGAGTTAAAATTTTCTGCTGCAGTTTTAGGAAAGGAATCTATATCTTTTGCTTAGAAAAGCTACTTGGAGCAGAAGTTCTAGGTCCTGTAGGGTCTGAGTGAAGCATGTGACCAGTCACACACAGATAAAGCAACCAAGGGTATTGCACCTGTACCTAGAAGCTGAGAGCAGTGCCCTATTATTGTACAGATAATAAGAGCTTGAAATTTAAGTAGATGAGAAAGGGTGATGGGTACTGTTGTCCCTCCTTTGTGGATAGGGAAATGAGACGTTAAAATGACTTGATCACACAGGATGTCTGTGGCAGATACAGGAATTTCGCATAGATCCCCCGAGTCCCAGTCCATTGCCTTAAACACAGAAGAGATGAACCTTCCATAAATCATGTATATCATCTTGTCAGCTGTCCTTGGTTTAAATCACTAAAATCCACTGCTGAAAAATTCTGAGTTTTTTATAAGAGAAAAAGGAAAGCCATCTTTATATTCAGCAGGATGGTCAAAGGGATGATTCTTGTAAGTCAAGGCTGAAATTACAAGCTGGGAAGGCTGCATAAGGCTGAGGAAGAAAAAGGAGGTGTTGGATAACTGGGGATGCTTGGCAAACTTAAATGAGAGGCGGGTTTCCTCTAAAATCTAATTAGTTGAAGGGCCATAGAAGAACCAGAAAACGTCAACAGTTGAGCCTTACAGGAAATAGCAGATGCTTTATGTTTGAAACTTAAGAGCAAAACTTCTGCTGTCAGAAATGCCTGGTGACAGTAGGACTGTTCCCTGCCTGTATCTACTACTAATAAACTTCTGTATGATGCCAAAGTGTTGTACAAATATCAATTAATGTGTCCACTCAACAGTCCCAGCAGTCTTGGGAATTAAGAATTTGACCCTGCAGAGAGAGAAGGCTGATTTAATTAGCCATGTAATCTAACGTAAGGGAAAAAAATCGGTATAGTTCTTGCATTTACAAAGTTCTTTCAAATGTCAGTCAACAGGAAGACTATATGTGCAGCTGACAGATACATCAGGACACAATAGCAGATAAGGTACGCTCCCAAATGAGTTTTTTTTTAAAGTCTAACAAAATCTAAAAGAAGCACTATTAAAAAAAGTCATGGTGTAAACAAAGTTCCTATTTAGATTGTCAAAAATATTTAAAATTGAGCAGACTTGCCACTCATGCTCTGCTCAATTTTTTGTTTCTCTCAGCTTAAGTAAATTAATAAAAAAATATTGATAATTTCAGTTTTGCTTCCAGGCTTACTGCAGCAATTTCTGGGATTATAAGGGCCATCAGGGAAGTTTTGTTTATGAACAACCATTTTAATGCCATTTTGGGTAAACATTTCCATTTGATTGAGAATCACAGAATCATAAAATCATAGCAAATTAGTGTTGGAAGGAACCTCGCAAGGTCATCTACTCTAACCCCTTGCAGGACTGTCCCCGACTAGATCATCTCAGCCAAAGTTTTGTCTAGCCGGGTCTTAGAAACCTCCAAGGATGCAGAGTCCATAGCCTCTCTGGGTAACCTGTTCCAGGGTTTTACTACCCTCCTAGTGAGAAAATTCTTCTTAATATCTAACCTAAACCTAATAACTAACTTTGCTGCAACTTGAGACCTTGGCTTCTTGTTCTGTCATCTGCCACCACTGAGAACAGTCCAGCTCCATCCTCTTTGGAACCACCTTTCAAGTAATTGAAGGCTGCTATTGAATCCGCCCTTGGTCTTCTCTTCTCCAGACTAAATGGGTGTTTATAAACACCCTGGAAGTCGGGGGGGGGGGCAGGGGGAAGAGGGCTTTAATTAGAGAGACTCTAATTGGAGCCACTCTAATTAAAGCACCCAGAGCGTCACATGTATCAGAGTCCCTGTGCTGAAAAATGGTGGTAGGGGTGCTTTAACTACAGCTCACTGAATGAGCTTTGAAATTCCCCCACAGCCATTTTTCAGTATGAGGATGCTGATACGCATGGTGCTGGAGTCTGCTGGAGCATGGTAATTACCACACTCCAGCAGACTTGATTAATCTCCCACTGCGGGCACAGAAATCTGGAGGAGTATGTGTTCCCCCCCGTGTTCCCCTGACATGTCACCTATGCCCACACCCCCTGCCCTACACATCTAACCCCTGCCCCCAACACCAGGGCAGCTGGGACCTGGGAGTGGGGGGCAGCATGTCAGGAGTGAGGGGGGCTCAGGCAGGTGGGGGACTGTGGGTCAGAAGTGAGGGCCACCAGCAGGGCCAGGAGGCTGTGGGTCAGGTGCGAGGGGCAACGGCATAGGTAGGGGCACAACACAAGCATATCAGGACTGTTCAGTGCCATAAAACAGCAGGGGGGACAGCTGCAGCTGGACCCACATCCTGGTGAGTGAAGGGGGCATGGAAGCTCTGATTTTCCATGATAAAAAAACCAAAATCAAATTCCAAAATATATAGGTATTTAGAATTTATTTTATTATAATGATTGAGGCACAGGTAGGCTTCCTAACTGCTTTAAAGTTGTAAATATATCAATAAACATATTACACACACTGATGAGATCCTGTTACTGGTAAGTGCACAAATAATGCACTAAAGCCTTGAATAATACAGGCATAGAACTTTGGATTCTCCTCCTCCCTCCCTCCATGACAAAGTTCACTTCTGATGTCCATCAGGACAAAGCTCAAAATGGTTTACTTACAAGTTTGAACCTTGCTGGATGTATTTGTATTACTTATTGGATATGGGGATGAGGAAAAATCCATTCTCTTGCGTTCTGTGAATTATTTTGGATTTGCTCAGCTTTTTTAACACTAATTTTTCAGGCTTGGTGTGAAAGTACTCAATACCTTTGAAGCACAGAAAATATTAAAACACTGATTATTTCATATTGTTAGTTTGCACTTCAAACATAACGTGACATACGCACACAATGAGCTTGCTTCCCGCATAAAAAGTTCCATTAATATTCCAAACGTAATAACTGCTAAAATGCACACCAACAATCCCATTTCTGAAAGCAAAACTGAAAGATTAAATTTGAATGCTGCTGTTTATATGACACGTCTCTCCAATACTTTTAGCTGGAGCTGTTCAATAGATTAAAATATGTTAATTAGACTGACTTGTAACAGAAAATAGAGCTATAAATTTAGTTAAATCTCACCTAAAAACATGTGTCAAAAGTTAAAAAGTGCCAGATGAACCAAGGTCTCAACAAGAAATTGAATAAACCTACTTTAGTTAATTCTGTAACTCGCACAAATACACCATGTGTCAGTGGCCTTGGCTTTGCATACTGTAGTCTATTGTTGAAATGCAATGCTGACATTGGAGTCATTGTTCCTCATGAGATTCACTAAGCAAATTAACATTCCTGCATCCTGTTTTTACGATAGGATAGAGTAAGATAAGAGGATTAATAATAATAATAATAAAGGAAAGTCAGTTAAATAAATATACTCTCTCTCTCTTTATTTTAACTAGGACCACAAAACAGAAAAAAGGGTCTGCAGCCACATTACTACTCTGGACAATCATCTTGTCCTTCCCACAAATGCAGACTAAGCAGGATCAAGCCTGCTCAGTGCTTGGCTGGGAGATGCTCGCCCCGGCTGACAGAAAGCCCACTGTACTGCAGCAAAGGTCTGTTAAATGTCAATCTTCCTGTAAGCCAGTGCTGAACAAGCACAGCCATACAGTGTTAGGAAGCAATGCACTGTAAGAGATACTGAATGAAATCTCTGGCCTAGTCAAATCAATAGGAATTTAGTCATTTGATTCACTATTACCAAGGATTTCACCTATGTTTCAGATCAAGACAACTCCAGCCTGCAGCTTACTGTGAGCACTAAGGGGCTTATACTGGGAAATGGGCTCCAGGCATAATAAAAAGAACTTGTGTTCATCCAGTCTACCAATACTCACTCATCACAAAGTGGTGTCTAACCACTAACCTGAGTGAGGGGAGGGCCAAGCTGTCCTGTCCCTTCAGAATAATCCTGGTGGTATGATAAGGGGAGCTGCCATTTCTATTTCAGGGCCCAAACTATGCCATTGTCAACACCATTTGGATGGCACCATTAAACAAACAGGAAGCAATATGCAGTTCTTGGTATGGTGTGCTTCTACATATAGCTTGCATCCCAGCTGACAGCAAGCTGATTTCCAGAGGAGGTGACTCAAATGTACGTCTCCCACACAGAGATTGCTGCAGTCACCTCATCCTGATTTTGTAAAGGGCAATGACTATGACAAGCCCAGGGGTCAGATCTCAGAAAGCACCTTAGTCCCTTACATGCCTAAGTCCCATTTTCAAAATGGATTCAGGCAGTAAGAGGTTCAAGTATCATGGACTACATTTTGGGTCAGGTTTAAGTGCTTCAAGATGCAAATGGGCACCTGGTGGAATTCACAAAAGCACAGAATCCCTTCGCTTCCACCATTTATTTTCAAGCATGCCCAAACTGTGTGACTTTGAGCAAAGATTAGAGAAAACCTTAACAGGGGTCAAAACCATCCTACCCCTACACACAGGACCCTTCCTATTTCCACCCAATGCAATTTCAAACAGGAGCCACTACAATCCTTGTAAATGTAGGGCTTACATGCCATTTTTCTCTTGTACAAGCAAGATTTAGGACATCTAAATTCTAAGGCAACCAATACTTTTAATGATTCGCTCATAAATTTATAGAACTATGGATTCACCAAAAGCTTCCCCTCTTCCTTCCCTACCAGAATTATCATCAGAAACATTCAGGACTTGTCTATATAATGGTTAAGGTTTCTTTGACATGGGAACGACCATACTGAATCTAACTGGAGGGCCACCTAGTCTTCAGAGGAAGGTCTAAGAATCCTGCACAGACAGACGTAGAACAACCTGTCCTGCTCCATTAAATATCTTTAGTAGCTAACAGATTAATTTAAACCCTTCAGTATGAAATTAATATCCATTTCACAAGATGGGTTTTTATTATATGAAAATTCAGAATATTTCTGATATCCATGGATATATCATGTTATGTTTTTGGCCTAAACACCTTCCTATGGCAACAAGCTAATACCACAATTCAATTGCACCTTGTGTGAAAAATGATGTCTTTTTATTACTCATTTTCCCAATCTTTTAACTTCGCTAAATATCTACCTTGTGTTAGGATTTAGGGAAAACATCTACCTACTAAAAAAAATAATTATTTTGCATCCTTTTATCAGAGCCCCGCTTATTTGTCTCACTCTATATTGTAAACAATCCAAACCATTCTGACTTATGCTCTCTATCCCACTCCTTACACATCTGGATATCTTTTAACCTACCTGATCCATTAGAATGCCATCTAAGTCCCCTCCTAGAGCTGTTACAGTTACCTTTTGAATCTTGTAAAGTATATGAATAAGTTTTCCCTCTAATCTGCATTTAACAATATGAAAATTCTGTAGACCACTATGTTGCCCAATCACTTAGCTTAACTAGGTCTCCAATGTTCCCTTGCGATCCTCTCTGGTCCTGACTCATAAGTAATTTTGTGGCACTTGAAAAATGCTGCAACTTCATTAGCTACCCTCTTCTACTCTTTGTAGGGCATAAGTGTACAATTATCATGGGACATAATACAGAACCTCAAGGCCTTCTCCCATTTGCTATGATGAATATGGATGATCTAATCCTAACGATCCTAACTTACCCTTTGCTTTCTCTTTCCTAGACACCTTTTTGCCTCTCACCCTATGTCCATTTAGTTTAACATGCTCTTGACGGGACCTTAACAGAGGCTTTATGGCTACAACCTAAATGAATATCAACCTAGTCCACTTCACTTCACTACTTCTGCATGCTCAAAAAAACTGAAAAATTAAAGCACGATGTACTGTTTAGATTTGATAGCACCTGTCTTTTTGGTATGTTCTCATTCTGAGTTTAAGTTATTATTGCAATCAGTTTACCAGATATATCTGGAAGGCTTATTGGTTGGAAATTCCTCAGATGACTCCCCCGCCCTTTTTTTTTTTTAAATATAGACCTAGCATTTTCTAACCTATAATCTTCTAGAAGGA